AGCAGAATCAGTGTATTTTTGTACACTTTACCTACTAATCTAAATTAGTTAGTTTGAGTTTTATCCCTTGCTGAAGACCGATTACCGAAACACTCTGTACTTGCGAAACAGGTACAGTAATTGAAAAGAATGTGTAAGGTGTGAAGAATGTCGGAAGCTAGAGCGTGCGTATGGTATAGTGGTGGAAATGGATGCATATACAGTGAATGTGCAATCGGCATTTTACACGCTACAGGTGTCCTAGAATCAGTCAGAGGCAGAAAAAGCCGCCACCAAAGTCACCCACTTTGGGGGCCGCTTTTTTGCTGGGGCCACAATCATCTTAAGCTGAATTTTTTCCACGGATGTTACCCGTGGGTTTGGGAGATGCATTACGGTATGGGGTAGGCCACACTAGAGTAAAAACGTCCGTACATGCGTTTACCAGATTTCCACGTGTATTCACTACTAACATTCCACGTGCGTTGTACGTAAAACTAGTCGCGGGACATTGCGGCTTATGGGAGTGAACACGCTCATATTATCTCGCTGAATTTTTTTTCACGGATATTTCTAGTTTTAACCTGACTGATAGTTTTAGTCGTGGAGGGGGGTGGGGGAGTGCGGATCAATCAAGGACACGGACGATTTTATTGCCAGTGTGGCATGCTCTGTCAGTCACTCTCACTGGTTAGTCCGAAAAACCATCTCGTAAGACGAGTGTGGCCACGGTTAAACAGGGCCACGTGCGCCGCACGTGAAAACAGGAAAACCAATCTCGCTGGTAAAAAATTACAATTGTGGCCCGGCCTCAAGGATTGCTTTATCACCAAACATATGCGTCCTTGAACTAGGAATTGAGTAACTCGTCCTATATGAATGCTAACTTATCTCTAAGGGCAATAAAATGGATTTACAAAACACTAGTTGGAGTCATTTATCTAAATATAACAAGCCTTGGATAGGTAAATTAAACTGATGTGTGCAGTTAATGTAATTTAGGGCAACATATGAGGATGTATTTCATTATATTTGTAGAGAAGTTCCAATCCTAAGAAAACGTTATCTTCATAAAAAAAGAGCTTGCTATGGAAGATTTCCTCTCACATTTAAATGGTAGGGACTGGCAAAGTCTAGAATTTTATTTAATTAATGCATGGAAATATAGATATAAAATTGTGTCAAAATTTAATTTTTCATAAAGAAAAAACTGAAAAAAATACTTTGTTTGCCATCCTAAAGTGTTGCAGGAATATGGAAAATAGGGTAGAAAATAAAATATTTCGTATTAATATAATAAACATGAAATCTTCCAGCCTAGCAAGTGTGTTTTTTTTAGCTTTTTTAGTAGGTATTTTATTTGTATTTTGAAGTGTTATTTGACGAAACAATCTTTGTAATGCATTGTTTTAATGAAAAAAAAAACACTGGTTTCTTTCTTTGCTTTCTGTGATCATGATGGTTGGGTTTGTTGTATCGACGATGATATTCATCCGTATTTATAAGCCAATCATTGGTCTCAGGTAAGAGACACAACTCTCGGCTTTTTAAAGAATAGATGATATTAGGATATCTAATCTATTAGAGGTTAATTAGAGCTAGAGTTCAGATGAGGTAGTCTTGTACCAGCAACCCAATAATCACCGCGAGATGCAATGAATAATAAAGGTTTCTTAGATGATAAGCACGGCTTTAAATCGAAGTTTGTGCTTTAATTCAAATGTGTAGCTAATTGTCTTTCTATCTTCAACTAATTATATTACAATATCGTTAAACGGGTTTAAATAATTCTTAATAAATGAACAAACAAATAATATGTGGATTGGATAAGTCGCTCTCAGAGACACCTAGCGGAGATTGGGAGAACTGTTGCGAGCCTCGACAGCTGCGATACTCTAGTGGTGAACGGGAGAACTAGCGAACCTATACGATAGCAACGCCAATTAAGTTGTTATCATACATTACTAAACATACAAAAATGAACCAACCTTTCACTAGTTTTTTTATCAGTAATTTAAAAATATTATTTGTATAACAAAATAACTTCTTGATCAGCATTGTACGTGTTATTAAATTTACGGAAAGTAAATAAAAGAAACGTCTTATAACACTTAAAACATATATTTACGCTTATACTGTTACTAACAAGACGGTAAATATACAAAACAGATGGTAAGTGGTGATCGATTTCGATTGGACACTCCAATCATAATCAGACCCAATAGGCGAACATTCGTGTGTGCGAACATTCGCCTATTGGGTCTGATGATGATTGGAGTGTCCAATCGAAATCGATCACCACTTACCATCTGTTTTGTATATTTACTGTCTTGTGAGTAACAGTATAAGCGTAAATATATATTTTAAGTTTTATAAGACATTTATTTTATTTACTTTCCGTATTTATATAACAGTCAGTGTTTTCTATTAATTACTAGACCTTTTCGAAATCAAATTGTATTGAGGTATTAGCATTTGCAATAATTAAGGAATTTGAATATCATTCAAAATATGAGAAAGCACATGAAAAAGATAGAGAAGCATAGTCCAGGTTTGAAATAATATTATTTTCAATTCACCGTATCCAAAGTCAAAGTTTCTACTAGTCCACCAACATTATTGTATCTTCTAAACTTCTATCTTCTAAACGATTATATAATTTTACACAAATTTCGTTGTTCTGCATGAGGAGGATAAGTCACCACTGGTATACAATGCCACTGTGGCAACAATTCAAGCGAAATATTAAGACTAAACATAGGGCCTACCTGGCAGATTGACTCACATTTGAACTACATCCGTTTGAGTAATTACGTCTTGGTTATCTAAATAATCTATATTATTAACAGAACTTGTTGGATTTTGTGTGCAGAAAATTTACTCCTTAATATTTATTTTTATATGCACATTGGGTATGGATGATATCCGATAAAAGCCCTTCGTACTCTTGGTTTTAAAAATTTCAGAGTTTGTGCTGAATTCTGTTGTCTATCATTTGAACTTTTCAAGTTTACATTTTGTTTACATCAAAACAGATGGCCATGAAACAATTTTGTTTACATCCATATGAAAATGGGGTCATTTTACAGCTGGTGATGTTTTAGTGACTTCAATATTCAAAATTACTTTTCAATGGTAAAATTAAAAATGTTTAAGGCCTAGCTCTATGGATATAGTTTTAAAACGGAAAAAAGCTAAGAACTTATAATTTTATGACGACATTTTGGGTTGAGTGACATAACAAAAGAAGGGTCATTCATGGCCCAACCTCTTCATTCCCAGCACACTAGATTTAAGAGTTATATTAATCCTGAAACCCATAGATTAGAGAACTTTCATTTATCTCCCCAATATATAGGCCCAAAAGTTTACAATAAGTTACCACCCCGCATATAGAATATTGATAGTAGTAAAGAGTTCAGACCCACCCGGATGACCTGGTTAAAAAAAAATCTATCGAATGTTATTTAAATAGGGACGTTAAGTTTGATTAATAAGTTAGTAATATTTTTGTTATTCTTAGTTTTAGTTATCCTGTATATGACACTGTCCTGTCAAATGATGTAATGGCATGAAATGAATAGGTAGCAATTTACCTTACAAGAGTAGTAAGAGCGTTTTTACATCACGCAGGTGAATGTTGTGCAACGAGCGGAAGTGAGTTACATATTCACATAAGTGATGTAAACTCTCTCTTGCGTAACGTGTAACGTTCAAGATTTTACCTGACCCGAAAATATACAGGAGGTTACGTACAATATTTGTCACTATCCATTTCACTCATCTTCTAACAGTAACGTTCTTTTACAAACAAAAGCTAGGTTAGGATATTTTTTTAAAGAATAACAATAAAACTCAAGCGCACAGCTGATTTCTAGCGTTGAACGTCGTTGGCTCCATAGTATTGTAAAAAATATTGTACGTAACCCAATGTATATTGTCGGGACAGGTTAAATCTTGTACGTTACACGTTACGCAAGAGCGTGTTTACATCACTTAGATCCACCTGCGTGATGTAAAAACGCTTCTACTACACTTGTAATGTAAATAGCTATTACCCAACCCACCATGTTAAACTTCCCTATCCCAAGCGTGATGTAAACAACTTCTTTACTTAACGAGTGAAGTAAAGTTTCAAAAACTCACCCGGTGAAGGAATGAAATCCATTTAAATAACATTGAGTGCTCAACTTAAACAAATGTACCTCTATGGAGCCAATGCCGTTCAACGCTAGAAATCAGCTGTGCGCTTGAATTTTGTTGTTATGCTTTAAAGAATTTTCCTAACCTAGATATTGTTTGTAAAAGAACATTACTGTTACAGTACTGGACAATGAAAAATATTGTACTTAGCCCCCTGTATATTGTCGGGTCAGGTAAAATCGTACGCAAGAGCGTGTTTACATCACTTAGGTGAATTATGCAACTCGCGGGAAAAACGCTTTTACTACTCTTGTAAGGCAAATAGCAATTAAGTTGAGCACTCAATGTTATTTGAATGGGTTTCATGACAATTATTACACTAGTGAGTTTTTGAAACTTTACTTCGCTCGTGAAGTAAAGAAGTTGTTTACATCACGCTTAGGATAGGGAAGTTCAAGATGGCGGGTTGGATGAACAAATAAATAATGGTCGAGTTCAGCTGTAGATACACAGATTCCCATAGAAAGCCGTATGATCCATTTTGGATAAATATTACAGAAAAGGTAAGGCTATATCACTGTTGTATAATCACTATTGTAGGGTTAGTTGTGTGAAAAAAACTATTGTATAATTTCCTCCAAACTATTTATTGTGTAATTGTATGGTTAATTTTGTTTTTCAGGATAACGGTAGAATACAAGAAGGCACACGTCGCTTGTATTACAACTCGATTGGTGAGGGTTCCTACATCTCATACATATTTGGAGAGACCCCTGGACTTCTAAGTCGGATCCAGGAATATTAGAAACAACGCCTCATGGACACTAGGACACCGTTTCAGGTCTTCGACCAGGGCCGTCTAGTCCAGTAACCGGACCATCCAGGAGAATAAATCCTTTGGTAAGATTATAAATGCAATTAGTAAAATTATAAAAATCTTTGGTATCGGTAGGTTTTGAATGAAATTTTTATATAATTTATAAAAAAACGTTTTTTAAGTCTGTAGAATGACCAGCACAACACAAACACAGGGGAACGAACTTCTCTGTGACGAAGTATTACGACCATCCCCACCTCGTAGTCCTTCGCCAGAAAACTCCTCTTCAACCCTTAAAACACCGATGGCCGAAGTTCATCCCCAACCTCGGCCAAACCGTCCACTCCCTCTTTGTCGAAACGGTCTGCGGGAAGAAAGGATCCTTCTCCTATGAACAGAGTCATTTCTAAGGGTGTGTTTATATTTTCATCACTTAATTTAATGTGTGTTAATCATACCCCTTCAAAACGATATTTATGACTGAACACAAACTGAAAAATAAAACTGATTTGTTTTCAGGAAATGGACGCCAACGCTGAGGGCGATCAATCACCTCGACACCACTAGGCAGAGCTGAGGGAGGTGCTGACGTCGACTGATTCCGTGGTAGGAATGGCTGTCAAGCCGAGATGGCAGAAGTTGATTGACTTGCTCCAGTCGTCAAGAATGAGGTCCGGACGTCCTAGGAACGGATCCTCGTTATGACCGAACAACAGATAGACGACAACACTGTTCAAGGTCGAGAACCCCGTATGGAGCCTCAACGGACCATCACATGCCAGATCTGCCTGGACGCCAACACCTTGCCACCACACGCTCTGTCCAGCCCATGCCAGCATACCTTATGTCTGACCGTTCCGCCTCCTCATGTATGAAACTACAGAGGGACCACGGACGATGAGTGTCACTTCCGGTGCTGCCCAAGGTTCCATACTCGGCCCAGACCTCTGGAATGTCATGTATGACAGCCTCCTGAGGTCTGAAATGCCTGATGAAACTGCTTTGGTTGGGTACGCAGACGACGTTGCAGTTTTGATAGCTGCACGTAGCGTTGAGCTGGCTCAGCTAAAGCTGAACCGAGTTATGCGTACCATAAACGCATGGATGACAGACCACGGTCTCTCGCTTGCTTTGAGCAAAACTGAGATCGTGATATTAACAAAAAAACGGATTGACACCATCGTGCCGCCGTTGAGGGTAGGGGCCGTCGAAGTTCAGACCGTTCGTTCTGCCAAAGTACCTTGGGGTTATGGTGCACAGCAAGCTTAGCTGGGGGATCAGAATTTCCATACGGCCGCTAGGGTGGTCTCCTCTCTTAGCCGGTTGATGGCCAATATCGGAGGTCCTCGGTCCAGCCGTAGAAGGCTGTCAATGTCTTCTGTCCAGTCCGTACTCTTGTACGGTGCTGAGGTGCGGGTAGACGCTCCCAATAAGGAGGTATATATGATGCGGCTTGCCCGAGTGCAGCGTCAGGCAGCACTAAGAGTTGCATCCGCCTACCGAACAGTGTCCGAACCGGCTGTCCTGGTGGTTGCTGGAGTCATCCACGTCAAACTTTTGGCGGCGGAGAGAAAGGCAATTTATCAGCGCCGTGGGGAGGACCAGGCACGAACAGAGGAACGCACCCGCACCTACCAGCTGTGGCAGGAGAGCTGGGAACAGGAGACTCGGGGACGATAGACCAGGCGACTGATACAGCAAGTCCAACCTTGGGTTAATCGGCGGTGCGGAGAGGTGGACTTCTACCTCAACCAATTTCTGACGGGTCACGGCTTTTTCCGGTCGTACCTGTTCAGGATGGGCAAAACCGTGTCACCCGATTGCATATACTGCCCAGGCATTCCCGACGGGGCCCCGACTACGTGGAACATACCTTTTTCCACTGCCAGCGTTGGGAAAGGCCCCGCCTGGAGGCTCAACAGTTAGTAGGACTGCTGTAAGTGGACACGGTCATACCGATGATGATGGAGGGTGGGGACAATTGGACCTGAGTGTCACATTACATCCAGGGTATTCTTCGCGCCAAGAAGCTCGACCTTGACCGGGATGCGTGTAGGTCATAAAGTATCTAAATGCCAAAAACGGCGAGAGCGCTGAGGGCTTAGGTTACATGTTTCCAAGGCTTCTTCTTGGATAGACAGTCAGCCATATAACTGGTCTTTGATACGAGCAACTAACTTGATGGCTCGATCATAAGGCATATATATTTCAATTATATTGGTGATATTTTCAAGGAGTGCAGGGCCGAGTGCCGTTTGCCTAACGTCCGCACCAGTGAGTACTAGGACTATCCGCAGTGCTATCCTGAAAATTAGACCAATTCGTATATACCAAGAAAAAAATGTGGTTTGGATTCCACTATAAACTGTACGTCCATTAGTTGTCATTAGCTGTATGGGCTATTAATTGACAACTGTGATCGCACCACTCATCCTACACTCATCTCCATTCATACTTGGCTTAAAATACCTACTTTGTATGGTCACCATTTCATTGAAAATATATATTTAAGTATTAACAACGTTGACAAGGGTCATTTTACAGTCTGAGGCTTGGCGGTATTGGGTTACGTGGCGCGAGTGCCGTGTGGTCCGAGCGCCGGGTGGCGCGAGCGCCGCGTGGACTACCTGCTACGTTGTGACAGATTTGACAGCGCTAATCAAGTATACTGTACACTTATAGTCGTCAAATAATCCATGTTGTAGATAAATTGTGTCTGCATATGCGAGCTTTTAAAACCTTTTTTAAAACTTAGTGTTTTTAGAGCGTTCTTATACCTAATTATAATAGCATAAACGTTTGCTATTAACCTTAACCTAACCTAACCTAACCAAACCTAACATAACAGCTGGCTCTCTGAACTTGTTACGTGGGGCACCCAAAGTGACCACCGCGCGGAGTTAGGATAAGCCCTACCACAGAGGCTCGTGTTAACCTCGTCACTTCTGCTTCATTTTTCAGACCCTTACAGGATTTATGGCTTCGGCGCTCGCAACACTAATTTAGCCGCGGCCCTCGCGCCACTTATCGCTCGAAGCACGACAACGTTTCAGTGACCGGTTCGACGGTGTGGCGGGTATGGGGGTGGAAAGATCAACCAGGGGAAGGGCAGGTTGAGAAAAACTTGTTTTAGGGTTAAAATGAAACTATTGTAACCTAACCTAACCCAACCAAACTTGCTGATTATGAAAACATTGTATTAAGGTTTACTAAGATTCGATATTTTAAATTGATATTAGGGTAGCCCAGGTTCTTACCTGGGCTACCCTAATATCAATTTAAAATATCGAATCTTAGTAAACCTTAATCATCTCTGGGACTTTAACAGTTTCTTAACTGTACCCGGTCTCCGTAACATCCTGCCCTCTACACCGCCTTCCACTAATACCCCTCCCCTAAATCACTCTTACGCTCTGAGGAGTCAAACGGCACTTGGGCCTACCTGACGGTTTTGACAGTTTATGACCAACACGGCAAAGAATAGAACGGCACTCGCTCCGCTTCCCATTTTCAAGGATATGGTATTCCAGCCGATCCATCCTTCTTATAAGATGAGGTAAAGACTATTTTAAGGTAAGTTTTTGTTCCGTAAATTAAAATTAAATGTGCGATTTGGTCTTTACTATTGATTACCTGTTGTTTCATTAACTTCCAAACTATAAACAGGCTAAAAATAAGTGTTGCGTCATACAGCAGCAAAAACAGCCGTTCTTAATGAATGCGTTGCGGGTCTAAAGTGGCATTTTTACTCTCTAGGGAGAACAAATCATTTTTAGTCTCTGCGGAGTAAAAGTCAGCTGTTGTAATTTCGTTTGTAATTTCGATTGTAGCAATCGTATCAATCGAAATTATTTATCGATTGATTTATTAGGTAAGATGTTAGCCTATTTTGTCGATTGCTCGACATATCGATGGTATAATATACTGTGACACAATCTTAATGAAAAGATTGATTCACTTACTAAACAGCTGATTGTTTCCATTAGCAAATTAAATTAAAAACAAAACAAAAAAAATAGAAGTAGTTTTGTGTGGTTACTCTAAATGAGCTTTTTTAAAATAGTTTTTTTTTCAAATAATGGTAAAATATTACGAAAAAGTAGACGTAGGGAATTTTCTGAGGGGGAAGAAGTCTGGGTGCAAAGAGAAATAGGTGCCGGCTGGAATCCAGGAGTGATTGCTTTAAGAACTGGTGAGCTATCATACCAAGTCAGGGTTGGTGGACTTCTGAAGCGAAAACACGCAGACCAGCTACGTAAGAGAAGCGGAGCTTTATCTGAAGGGTATTGACCTCTGTTCAAAAAGAGTCACTTTAGGCCCTAGTGTTGCAATTTACTATTTTCTAACTATTTTTTTTCTCTGGGACTTTAACTTCAGATTTTACTCTCACTAATTAATGATCGCTGAATTACGAAAAAAATCTCGTGCCTGTAAATAAATAAAAACTATTAAGCACAGTTAAGGCGTAACCGTATATGAAACACACATCAAAATACGTCTCATGTGTTACCATAGAACTGAATTATATTTGCCACGTTTTGATTTAACGACTTCATAGATTACGTGCTTTATTTTTCCTCATAAACGTGTGGAAGGTTAGGTTAATTAATCAATCTTATTTGCTCACCATTTTGTAAGGAACATTTCGCATGTTAGTCAATAAGTTGCAAACATGGAAATCAGAAGCGTATTTATTAAAATCCGATCAAGAATTGCAGTTGAGGTTTTGTACCTTCACCTTACCTGCTTTGCACACATTTTATCAACTGGCATAAACATTTCTCCTAGTTTGTCTGGTGATGGAGATGTTCTTTCTATACCGACTTCAGGACGTCCGTCTTCATCATCCTTCATCTCTAACGTCAACGTGTTAACTATGTATTCAATTTTTCTAGACGTTTTTCCTATCAATGTTCTTGTAACATACGTTTTGAGCATCACCGAGATTTTAGTTGGTATACTATTTTTACTGATGAAGAGTACTGTGTCTTGAGTGATTACGTCATCTGGATATCCCTGGTATGCCTGGAACGTGCAGTATGTAACCAAAGGAACGGCTTTGGTCCATTTCTAAAAGAAATAAAAAATAAAAATAAGAATATTGACACAGCTTCATATATTATTCAATATAGCATTATACAGGGTGTTCATTTGAAAACTTTCCATATCTGTTGTGTGCAAAGGTAAGGCTTTTAACACTTGTTTGTTCTCATTTCCCCCTAATTTGGACATGCCAAATCCAATAAAATTATTTTCAATTTTGAAAAATGCCCCAAAAGGGCCCAATTTGGGGGGTAGGGGTGCTTTATGAGAAATTTTCAAATGTAAACATGGGTTGTGTGATACATCAATTTAAAGCTCTAATCACCCCGATCATTTTGGTGCAAAAAAAGTTTAATTATCTTTAACCGTATTTACAGGGTGGGTCAAAACGTTTTAAAAAAGGACTTTGAAGTCAAGTACCGTATTACCCTAACTACTGAACGGAACAGCGCCAAATTTCTTTCCAAGCTTATTCTTGAGCTACTCTTTAAGATAACTTGTAGTAAGGGCATTTTCCAAGTTATTATCTAATTTAAAAAAAATCTCAAATTTTAAGAATAAATGAAAGCTGAAAACTAAAAATTCTTAAATAGCAAGGTATAACAAATTTCATATCACGTGAAAGGTCCTTTTTTAACAAACATTTTACGTATTTAAGTTTTCTTTCTATCTCTTACCGTTTAAAAATTGCAGTGGAAAAACATAATTTTCTATGGTAAAATTATAACTAGTTTTCTAATAAAACACATTGCACTTTGTACAACGATGTAGTAGGATTCATAAAAAATTGATCGACTACTTTTACGTGTGTCAGAATTCATCTTGGACCCTTCATCCTGTTCTTTTCTCATTGGTAACTGAGCCAGTTTCAGAAAACTTCCTAACTAAATCATTTACAGCCATATGACTCAATGTTATACCTGGATATCTATTGTTAAACACTTTGCAGTTATCCTGGAACACTTTTGTTATGACCAATAAGTAAAAATAAAGTCTATTTTTTAAGTTTACACCATATTTGATTAGGTACTACAGGAAATGGTACTTTTGAAATTAGTACTACCATTGACTAGTCAATGGTACTACAGAAAGCGGCCCACGCTTGGGTTTTTCTCATCAGCTATAAAACTTGTTTTTCACAAAGTAAAACGTAATGACTTGTTTGCCTATCTGCCTAAAAATAATTATAAATTGTTTCCTTCAGTTATTGCACCATTTAATGTGTCTAGAGACGAATTTTGGCTGTTTTATTATAAAACTAGTTACAATTTTTCCATAGAAAATTATGTTTTTCTACTGCAATTTTTAAACGGTAAGAGATAGAAAGAAAACTTAAATACGTAAAATGTTTGTTAAAAAAGGACCTTTCACGTGGTATGGAATTTGTCATACCTTGCTATTTAAGAATTTTAAGTTTTCAGCTTTCTTTTATTCTTTAAATTTGAGATTTTATTAAAATTAGAAAATAACATGGAAAATGCCCTTACTACAAGTTATCTTAAAGAGTAGCTCAAGAATAAGCTTGGAAAGAAATTTGGCGCTGTTCCGTTCAGTAGTTAGGGTAATACGGTACTTAACTTCAAAGTCCTTTTTTAAAACGTTTTGACCCACCCTGTAAATACGGTTAAAGATAATTAAACTTTTTTTGCACCAAAATAATCGGGGTGATTAGAGCTTTAAATTGATGTATCACACAACCCATGTTTACATTTGAAAATTTCTCAAAAAACACCCCTACCCCCCAAATTGGGCCCTTTTGGGGCATTTTTCAAAATTGAAAATAATTTTATTGGATTTGGCATGTCCAAATTAGGGGGAAATGAGAACAAACAAGTGTTAAAAGCCTTACCTTTGCACACAACAGATATGGAAAGTTTTCAAATGAACACCCTGTATATCTTTGAGATTTACTACCTTGAATCCATTTTAGCGAATTTCCCATATAATAAGCTATTACCGTAGTACTCATGGTAAAATCTGGACCCAGGACGGATTTACATTTTTTTGAGGTCCTAGAGGCTAAAAACACCAACCGTTCAAATTCATATATATATATTATTTTCTCGCATGTTTAGGGCTACTAATATAATAAAAATCAAAAACATAGTTAACAAAGTACCCTTTTAATAATTATTTTATTACATATATATATAAATGTGCATTTGAACGGCATGTATATATACGAGGCATCCAGAGCCAAAGTGACTTAAGTGCCAAAACATGTCAAATTCAAATTTCGATGCTGTTGAAACCTTTGAGAGTTAAATTACCATGCCAAAATAGCCTTAGAGCTATGAAAAATATGGGAAAATTATTTTTTTGAAAAGTTTACTTTGGGCACTACTAGTGCCACACTGACTCAAGTACCTAGAATACATGTGGATTTCCAAATGGCCAGCAAGCCGTCAGATAAACGTTATATAATATATTACTCATACTAAATCAATATTTAAGAACAGAACTAACAAAATATTGGAAGATTGTGCTCCGATTACCAGTTTTTGTGAAAAGTTCAGTTCCATGGGTTTACTTGATTTACAATAAAAAGATAACGTTAGCAATGCAGATTTTATGGGTGTTAAGTAGTGTTTTTGTTTTGATATTTTTGTTCTATAATCCTCTTATTAATTGAGGTGTAAGATATGAAAACAAATTAACTTTTTTTCAAATTTTATTATTGTAAAGTTCGTTTTTGAATTATATTTACAATAAATTGAAAAATAATAATACAAAAGATAATTTTTGAATTCCATTTACAATAAATTGGAAAATAATCATACCAAGTTTTAGAGGCTATTTGCGTTAGTGGCATCCTGGATAGTTATTTTCACCTAATAGCTCTATTGTACCATGTTAGTAGTGTCCAAACTGTATCAATAATGGTATATTTTTACCTTTTAAGTCATAATATAATTTTACATGAAAACTCTGATGTGATATTTTGTAAAAAAACAGCTAAGACTGATACAGTGGCACTTAAGCTCCTTTTAGTCGAGTAAATCCGTACGAGAACCCTAAAAATATTTAGTTTTATTTGTTATTTTGACTTAGAATTATGTGTATTTTCCATGAAAAAAAGTCTAATGAAATCGGAGTCTCGGAAGTCCAAAATTCAAGATGGCGACCAAGATTTTGGTCAAATTTGTCCGTTAGCACAATAACTCAAGCAAAATTGATCCGAATTCGATGAAATTTGGTACAAACATGTAAACCTACATTTATTTGAACGAGTTCGCGAATCAGCATGATCGGACCATGGGAACAGGGGTTCATGGGGGGTTTTATGTGGCAAAAATTGGTTTTCCCCATTTTTGACCCTAAAAACGTAAAATTTTGCAATTTATTTCGAAACCATTTTAGGGCTCAGAAAAAAAACCATTTAGTACATTGAAGCGTTGTCATGAGCCTAATACCTAGTTACGGAGAAAATTCCAAAAAATTAAAATTTAAAATGCCTATGTTATTTTTACGGAGAAAAAGAAAACTTGTTGTAGTTAGCCTGCAATTCAATCAGGCAAATTAAAATTCACTTAGGGTGCAGGTTTGCTGCGGCGGGGGTATTTTAATTTAGGACTATTTTTTGCTTAAAAAATCCAATAATAGGTCTTAAAATAAAGATCACAAGCTTGCTAAAATTCAACATACATATTTTATTTACTTAAATAAATATCTATAAATTTTTAGCCCGAAAGGATTTTTTGAGATAAGAATAGGCTTGTATTAATAGGGAATCTGACCTATTATAAAGCCACATTTCAGCCCAATCCGACGAGTAGTTAATGCGTGATTGAACTTTAAACAAACAAACTGTGACATTTATAATATTAGTAATAGTATAATATAGTCACACTTTCTTGTGGTTAGTAGTAGAGCATTATACAAATAATAATTCATAATTTTCATCAAGTTGTACACTGTTATGATCATTTTACGAACTGTCACATTGTTCTCAAAGCTGGTAAAGTCCACAAGCTGTAGTACAAGGTAACCCATACATTGTTGCAGGAGCATTGCAAATTCTTGCATTGCGTTCTTGGAGTAGTTGCAGTGAACAAATCTTAAAAGAATCTCTGGAGCGGCACTTTGGGTCATCGAGTCGTTTTTATTGTTTAATATTTTCCAGCAGAGCATCTCAACATTATTTTTTTTCATTAATTGAAAAAAAAATCTTCAAATGAATAATAGTTCTTTTATTTTTTTAGAAGTTGATACACTAGATTTATGAAATAATTTTGGTTTATTTTACTTTTTAATTTGGTAGGAAAATGATTCAAAAATGTTGATTCAATGAAGGTTTCTTTTTTAGCGAATTTCCCATATAGGGAATAAGCTATTACCGTAGGTTTCATGGTAAGACCTGGACCCGGGACCGATTTAGTTTTTCGTTTTGAGGTCCCCAGAGGCCAAAAACACCATCCGTTCAAATTCATATATATCTAATATATAAAATTCTCGTGTCACAGTGTTTGTCTGCAAACTCCTCCGGAACGACTTCACCGATCGTTATGAAATTTGGTGTGTAAATTCTGTAGGTATGCGAATCGGACGTAAACTATTTCCCGTTTCGAAATTCTTAAAAGGGCTCCGCCCCAGTGGCTCTGGAGTTTCCCATGTTAACCTTATGAGAAATGGAATTAATGAATCTTAACAGCTGTTTCAATTAAACAAGTTGGTTCTGTTCTTTGATGTTCAATAGCATTAAAGTTACAAGGATTACCAACAGGGTGCAGCACTATTATTTCTTTTAAATTTATGACAACAGCTAATTTGCAACCAAAAGGTGACTGAGCGTAGCGAACGAACTTCAACCTGGAGGCGAGTTAGCGTAGCGAACGAGCTAACCTGAAGGCAAGTAAGCGCAGCGAACGAGCTCCAACCTAAAGGTGAGTGAGCGTAGCGAACGAGCTCCAACCAAAAGGTGAGTGAGCGTAGCGAACGAACTTCAACTTGGACGTGATTGAGCGATGCGAACGAGATCATCTTGAAAATTAAACGTAACGGTACTTTCTTTCCATCGGTCTGTCTTA